TTGGTAGTTCCTTGATTAGGGTATTGTTTTCTGCTTGATTGTTTGTGTTGTGTTAATCCCTGCTTATCTGGGTGTGGGCTGCTGGAGAGGATGCGTTCTGGTGTTTTTGTTTCCTTCTTATCTTTTTTTATCTCTTGTGAATGTTGTGTAAATATGGTTTATTTCTATGTATCTCTTGATGGCTTGGCTTGTCTGAATGCCAAGCTTCCAGGAATTCCCTAGCGTTTTTGGATTTAGCTTGGTCTAGGATGCTAGTCAGGTAACAAAATGTCTGCAAGCACACAGCCAAGCTCAGAGAGCACCAAGGACTCCACAATTCAACCCCAAGCTGCATATATTCTCTTCTGTCGAAATTATTACATTTGTTTTTTCTGTAAGTTCTCTATAAATAGAAATGTTTCTGTAAGTGCAGCGAAATTTCATTGGTGATATCTTGTACGGATAATGAAATTGGGCTCTGTAATTTCTTTATTTTGTTCCTTAATGAGTATGAATATAGCAAGAAAAAGCAACAACAACAATGATTTCTAGAATTCCTGCTTCTACTATGGTTGCCAATCTAAATGACTGAAGCATGTGAAAAGATGACAAAACAACAATTTATTGATTAATCATTTGCCATATCAAGAAACTATAAACAGTACTAAAAATATATAGAACATATTCATATTGTATCATTGCTCTTACAATCAACCCCAGTCTGTTCTAGGTAATCCATCCTCTTCTGGATGGTCTTTTGATTAAAAGACCCAGTTGTCCTAATAATATGCAAACTCATTTTCTGCAAAAAGTATGGCAATTTAGTCTCAGGGTACCAGGATATCTTAGATTTTAAGGATGGACTTAGGCAATCACCTTTTAACACAGAGTTTAGTTTACCATCAATACATACTCTTGTATCTGGAAAACTGATTTATGTTATGCCAGCCACTTCAAGGACTTAGCATGGTTAAGGGATGCTATGTCAGCATCATCCAGGACCTTTTGTTTGAAATTTTTCTTGGCCTTCAGGTCTGCTTGAACTGGAAATCAAACAAAACCCAAATTGTGAAATGTTTTTTGCAGTGAAAAGATGACACAAAATATCCACACATGTTGAATTATACTATCTAGGCCCTGACAGTCCCTGAATTACATAAGCATCAATTTATGAAATTCTGATCTTAACACAAAGGGATGCAAAACTGATGGCCATAATTTTTGCACAAGCACACAGCATAAAATGCAACCTGGGGAAAAACCAAGTTGTTCAAGGGTTCCTGAAATAAAGCCCTTGTGTAACCCACGACTAGTGCCGACTTTCAGTGATGTGCAAATCTAGGAGACTGTCCACAGCATTCAGAGTTCACAACTTCAATCAAGTTAAGGCTGGAGGCTTATGTTAAAAGTCTCCAGCAAGAAAAGAAGATTCTTTATCCTAAAATGTGAATTTC